ATGCACTGGCATCAAGAATGCAGCGGCCGTTCTCACATTCGGGCCCACTTGTGTTTTGCACACTGTTGTGATGTTTTTTATAGGATGTTTGTTGTTTTTGTACTTTCCAAAGTGGAGAAACCAGCTCCCGGCGAGATGCTGCTCCTGGAATATTTGTTGTTTTCACACTTTCCAATCTGGAGAAGCCAACTCCCGGCGGGACGGCATGCTGACATGTTGTTCACTTCATTCCTAGATGGCGTTCACTGCTATCCTGTGCTGTGATGCCCCACATGGTTCCACAGTTTCCCCGACGGTTTCACCTTGCTTTCCTGGCGCACTTGTTCTGCTATTTCCTCCCTCCTGCCATGTTCCACATTTTCACGTCTTGGTTTCCTAAACCCCAAACCCTAAACCTTTTGGTGCGTTTCCGGATCTCCCTACGCCATGTGTCCGCATTGCCGTCCCATTTCCCTGGCTGTTTCGCTCCAGGCCTTTCCCTTACGTTTAGGGTTTTGGGTTTAGATCTAGNNGGTGTAGGGTTTAGGGCTTAGAGGGCTTACATGCTTTCGGGAGGTTTAGGTTTAGGGTTTAGGGTTTAGGGTGGTTGAAACCTTTTCGTATGTTCTTGCATATTTTCCAATCTGGAAACATGGTATGGCGAGACCAGCAACGCACAAACATAGGAACAACCCAAGCGAATACAAAAGCATAAAAGCGTTGCGAAACACATGTTCATAGGTGTGGCATCGTCAAAAAAGACTTCACGTACAGTGCTGGATGATATCTTTCTGCAATTTTGCTGCAAGCACTGTGCTGTTGTACCTTTCTGGTGTGCAGTTTTTGCCACATTCCCAACATCCGGGTGCATCTTTGAATCACATTGCAAAATGTAAACTGACATGTGTCTACTTCTCCACGACTGGGTCGCTCAGGCTCACAGCTGTTTAGAATGCCCCTAATCCCCCCCTAGGCCCTAAACTCTCAAAACCAAACCCTGGGCCCTAGGCCCTAAACCCAAAATCCCTTGAACCCTAAACCCTCCTAAAACCCAATGCTCCTAAACTTGGCCTTAAACTCTAAAAACCCTAAACCCTACACCCTAAAGCCCCAAAAGCCAATGCCCCCACCTGCTGAAGACGGTGGCTCAAAGTCCCCGAGGAAGTCCACGGCATCACCGTCTGCCACTCCAGCATCGGCCAGAGTTAAGTTCGGATTTCGATTACTTCTCCACTCACTGCTGCCACATCTGAACCTGAAGTCTTGCTAGGGAGCTTATGTAGTGTAGAATACCATACTAAGCAAACTCTATTATTTAATATAGACCCCAGATAAATAACTTAAACTCAGCTCCTTAACAAAAGCCCAGGAACACATAGCCATAGTTGGAAAGAGGTCCTGTAGTCAACTTCCGCATGCCCAGCTCTGCGCCAAAGGTCCAGACACACTTGTCAAGCGGCGCCTGTCCTGTTGTCGATCGGGCCCCGCTCTTGTCCAGAAGGCTGACCTAACCCGAACTTGACATACCTCAAAAACCACACTAACTATGACTATACCTGTATCCGAAAAACAGACCTACCTTTCTTCAGGAACTAGATCTAGAAACCAAAATAAGGAACCCTAAAAAGGTAGGTCTCTCCGGCTACTAACTATACGGTCTAGGGTGTCGGGCTCAGGGATACAAGATTTTCAGGGAGTGCCATAGATGTTGACAAAGACCGGAAGAAAGGAAAACACTTCTTCATGTAGGGATGACGTATGCACATCCTAAACCCTTAACCCCTAAACGCCCAACCCTATCCCTAAGCCCCTAAGCCTCTAACCCCTAAACCCCTAAACCCGAAACCGCTAAGCCCCCCTAAGCCTCTAAGCCTTACTCTAAGCCTCTAAACCCTAAATCCTAAGCCCTAAACCCTACATCCTAAGCCTAAGCCACTAACCCCAAATCCTAAGCTTAAGCCTCTAAACCCTAAATCCTAGGCCGTGGGCGAATCGATCCCAGTGGCAGTGAGCTCGACAGCCGGGCTCGACTCTGCTGGGCTCGGCGGACGAACATCTGCCGAAAAGGCGACGGCGTCGCCGCTCCTCGTCCATGGCTTTTTGGGTTTAGGGGGTTTAGGGCTTAGGGTTTAGGTTTTAGGGTTTAGGGTTTAAGGGTTCGGGGTTAGGGTTTAGGGCTTGGGTTTTGGACTTATAATTAAGGCTTAGTTTGGGTTTCTAGTCCATGGTTGGGATCGTGTTAAAAATTTAAACTTGTATTCCTTCTTGGATGTAAGTACCCAGCAACAATCCAAAATGTTACCCAGCTATATCAAAGACTCTTGCGTACTCCTGCTTCCGCCAACGTAAGGTTGGGATGTTGGTTGCTTCTCCAATGATGCCCAGCGTAGCTGAAAACACATCCATGGGAAGCTGGACCGGAGAGCATTGCTGTGCCCACGTCTTGGCCGAATTCCCAAACACACTTGTCCAGGCTTGCTCTGCAAATCTTGGTTAAGCTCTTGCTCACAGCATCAATGGTTACCTTCAACTCCACCATTGAGCTTGAGTAAGTTGGGAAGGTCGGAACAAGAGGGGGTTGAGCTGGAATGGTCGGGGGTGATGATGGAGCCGTGGAGGGCGTGGCAGGGGCCGACGTCTTCGTTGCAGTGGCGACGTCGAAGTCTCCTGTGAACTGGACCCTATCACCTGCAGCCACGAAATTCATGAACAAACTACTAAGCATGATTCTCGCTAACAAAAACGATCATAATACTCATAACAACAGCAACCGCAACACTAGTGATACCAAGAAGCGGAACGGAATACGAATCAGAAGTCATTTAACATGAACAGTAGTAGCATTAGCAATCATTGTGTCAATTTCAGAAACAGGAGCTGGGACCCGACTGTGACCTGACTTTAGCTGGGAGATCATGCCCACTAATGACAGCTCTGAGAATAATCTGTCTCCAACCTGTACGAACAGACTTTCAGGGTTTAGGGTTTAGGGTTTTTCACACTTTCAGCCTTGAGACCGTAGAGACAAGTTTCGGGGTACATCTTGCCATCCTTTCCCTTCGAGTCTCTGTTTGTCCAGAACCTGAAACGTCAAACCCTGTCATGTTCAAGGGCACCTTTAAGGGCCCTAAACCCTAAGTCCTGAACCCCCACACCGTAAACCATTCTGGTGCATTCCCTTTCTGCCGGGCGGCCGGTGTTTCTGACGCCGGCCTCCGCCAAGGTGAGGTTGGGATACTGGTTGCTCTTCCACATGCCGCTGGCACTTCGGAAGATGTAGCCGAAGTTGGACCTAATCCGAAAAAAGATTCCTTTATAGGGGTTGAGCATAGCGACCTTGATTGTTACAATGGAGCTTGGGTATTTCATGGTATGGCTATATCACAGATATAAGGCGACACTGTTGCTACCTGTTCAGATACACAGGCTCTTTGAAGATACACATCTCTCCAGGAAACAGACAAATGTTGTACGGGTTTCGGTGTGCACAATTCCGACTGACCTGAAGCTCTGCTTAGAGGCATGTTTCCCATTTCCCTAAACACGAACCCGCGCACCAAACCCTAAACCCCAAACCCTAAACCCCTAAACCCTAAACCCCTAAACCCTAAACCCCTAAACCCTAAACCCATAAACCCTCAAAGGACATTTTTCAAGCTTGCCAAGCGGCTGGGCCGAAGAAGTCAACTTCTGCCTGGCTTCGTATCGCGCAGGTCCCCAAAAGGATCCAACAAAGGGAATCTCTCCCCCCACCCCCCCAATTTAGGGCTTGGGGTTTAGGGCTTTAAGGGTTTAGGTGTTTAGGGGTTTTAAGGGTTTAGGGGTTTAGGGGTTTAGGGGTTTAGGGCTTCAAGGCTTGGGGTTGAGGGTTTAGGGTAGCTAGGGGCTTAGCAAAAGTGTGAACCAGGGTTTAGGTAAAGTTTAGGTGTTCTAGGACGTCAGGCCAAAACCCTGCACCGGTTATAAACTCTCTTCTTCAACAACCAGGCCCAAAAAAGTTCAAACTTTTTAGGATAGACCTAATATATAAGGCCAAAAAGTTTAAAGTTCTCCCATGGCTATCTAAGTAAAGGATCATGCCTAAAGTTCTTTACGTAAGGGGTCCAGGAGATCCTGGAAAGTTGGGAACTTCGAGGGTATCCTAAAACTGAGCATAAGAAGAATAGCTTACAGCAACATGAAAGGGTTTAGGGTTTAGGGTTTGGGGTTTAGTGTTTGGGGTTTAGTGTTTAAAGTTTAGGGTTTGGGGCCAAATCAGTCCAAGTAGCATCCCAACTTGCTCCCCAAGAGTCCAAATACAGGTGTCCAGGGATGCGCATCCGCCCACGGCTGAGCTCTGGCCCTTGTCCAGCAAAGTCACGTGAAGGCTGACCATCGATGCGGAAGCCATGGGTCGGTCGACCAAGCGGCTTGTTCGACTCTGCTTGCTTGGGCCAGTCTCAAACTTGCCGGGCCGCGGAGATGCGGCTTGGGAATCAGAGTTAAGGGTTACGGGTTTGAGGTGTACCCATAGGCCCCTAAGTAGTTCCTTTGTATGGTTCATGTTTAGAATCCTATAAGGTAATCCCAAAAAGGAACTACTTAGGGGCCTATGGGTAGGGTTTAGGGAGTATCGGAACTAGGGACCCTGTACTGCAAGAGTACTTGAGTCAATACTTGAGTCCGTATATGCACACCCCCAAACAGAAGCAGAAGCACAAGCCCACCAGTGTTTACCATGGGCCTTTAATGCGAGCACTACAGAGTGAAAGAAACAAAGAATCAAAACACAACAATCATAAACCCTCAGCCCTAAACCCTAAACTCTAAAGCCCTAAACGCTAACACCCTAAGCCATCCTAATCCCCTAAACCCAAAACCCTATTAAACCGAAAGCAAAAAGCGTAAACCCACAAGGCCCGAGACCAAGATCTGCATTGAAGACATCAACCACCACTGAAGCCTGAAGCCATCAAAAAGACACGAAAGAAGCCCCCGAAAGGAGGTGGGTAGTTCTCTAAATGCAGAAAAAGGACCCTAAAAGGGACCCTAATTTAGAGAACTTCCCATGTGTCATCGACCCCCAAACCTCCTCAACTCTGCCACCTCCTGCCTCAAGCCTGGCGCGCTGTCCGTGAGTACCTGAGCACAGGTTCTGATCTTCCGATGTTGGGATGTAGGATGTTTCTTAAGGGTTTAGGGGTTTAGGGGTTTACGGGTTTAGGGGTTTAGGGGTGTAAGGCTTAGGGGTCCCGGGCTGGGGATTGCTGGTTTGGGTTTGAAGGCGTGGGGTTACGGGCGTGGGATCAGAGGGTTTGGGGTTCTGTGAGGAAAGTCCCAGAGGTTCTCCAAGCATGCTCCGACGAGGCTTGCCCTGAGAAGGCTGATGCTGGACTTGTATTCGGGTTTCGGTTTAGAGTTTAGGGTTTAGGGTTTAGGGCGTAGGGTCTAGGGTTCAGGGTTAGGCTAGGGTTAAGAGTGTGGGTTACTTGTGCATTCGTTGGTGAACCCTGCACTTTAGACGACAAGACCCAGGTCAGGTGAACCAGAGAGCTTCTGTCTGAGGAGCTTCTAAACATGGAGGGGGCCCCCACCTAGAGGGTCCTACTCCAGCACTGTTTGTAGGCGACCTTGCGTTATGGCTCGGGCTAGGATATGCCATGTAGAAAGAATTAATACCCCAAAAGAAGGGGTAGGGTATGAGCCTCCATAGGCAATGTACAACAACCTAGATCAAGTCCTGCCCGGAGGCTCTAGAAACTCGCCAGTTTCTTTTGGGGGTTTCTGGGACCAACAGCCACAGCTGACCTTTGAAGGATATGTTTAGGGGCTCGGGCTCAACTCGAAACCCGAAACCTCCCCCGTCATGTCAGAGTCCCCCAGTGTCTCCCTCGAGCTCCCAGCGGTGTCCACGCGGCAAACGGCCTCACTCAGCGCAGCCGCAAACAACACCGGCCAAGCAAGACATCTGCCCCGAGAGCAGTGTATTCTACTGGAATATATGATGTAATATGCTAACTCTGTATAGTATACTTGTTACTTGAATGTGCTACAGTATTTTACAACCTTCGGAACCGGAGGTCAAACGTGCCGTGGCCTCTTTTTTGTTCGCGGCCTCTACCTGCTTCGGAAAAAATCCAGCAACTCCAAATCTCCCGAAGTAAGGGGTGCAGACCTGAAAGCACAGTTTGGGGGTTTTGGGCCGTTTATGGAGGGTCCATAGGGTTATGTTAACTCCCTAAGCAAGGAGTATAGACCTGAAAGCGTATGCGGAATAAGGGTTTAGGGATATGTTAGGTATAGACGTTTGGGGTTTAGGGTTTAGGGATAGACTCTTTCTTTCCCGAGCAGCGTCTTGGGACGATTCCGTAACTTGCCCTGAAACAGTGCGCCATCCTTGGGCACCTGCAAGGACCGGCATCACGAAGAGAAACGGCAAGGTCAAAAAGGCGCAAAATGATCGTGACCACGAACGCCCACAACTTGCAGCTGCCTGGGCGGCGAGGCGGGGACTGCAGGCACAAAGGCCCCCCTACAGCACAGCACAGCACAGTTCACAGAGCCATCCCCCAACCCCACCCCATAATCCTTGAAGCCGTCCGGAAGTCTCGGGAAAACCCAGCCCACCACACGTGCAACAAAGAGATTTCGCAACCAGTTTCCCGGTCGTGGCCTCCTCGCGACAAAGAGCTAGGCTCGAGGACTCGACCTCGCCCTCAAACCCCAGCCCAGTACCCGAAAAACCCCAAAAAGTCACAGAAGTCTGTAGTGGAAGATGCTCGTACCCAGTGATCTGCAAATACGGCTGAACCTGCTTTCAGCTTTACGATTCCTGTGGAAGCACCCAAAACCCGAGCCGAGGAGCTTTAGGCCGCTGAGGGCGCTAAGATCGCCCGTGATCTTCTGGTTGTGGAAGAAATTCACGTTCTGCAGCTTCCTGGGCACCGAAGCTGGAAAACTGCAGGCATCCCCCCCAAGAAAGCCCCCCACACCACAGTTCCCAGAACCGCCGGAATCCCGGAAGGGGCCAAAGGGCACCCCTGCCAGAGAGAAGCCACTCTTCGGGAACTGCGCGCTGAGAGTGTTTAGGAGTTCTGGGGTTTGCTGCAGTAGGGTTTAGGATTTCGGATGCGTTGGACTTCGCACCGTCCCCTTAGCCTCAGGGAGAGGTGTATCTCAGATTGGGAGTTTGGGAGTTAAGAGTTCGGATACATTACACCCTATACCCACAACCCTAAACCCCGAAACCGGCTTCCTTTGCTCAGGTCTTCCGAAACTCTACATGTAGCGCGGTGTGGATTCAGTGGCTCCGACATTCCCCGGTCGCCACCCTTTTTTATTAGGATTTTTTGGGCTTAGGTACGACTGGGCGGACCTAGGACGAGAGGCTTGGGGCGCAGTACTTGGGCCGACATGTGGAACCCAAACCCGGCAATCAAATCCTGAAACCCTCACCCTAGACCCCAAAGCCTCGTGCTGGAGTCCTTCAAGCCGTCCAGAAGTCTCGGAAAAGCAACCCACCACACGTCCAAAGAAGAGATTTCGCAACCCGTTTCCCGGTCGTGGCCTCCTGTCCGCGGACAAAGAGCTAGGCTCGAGGACTCGACCTCGCCCTCAAACCCCAGCC